TGGGGGTTCAAGACACCCAGAAGAGAGAGAAATGTCTGCCTTGGGACTTGAAAGTACTAAATCAACCAAGCGGACAAGGGGCAGGCAGGTGCATTTGACAGACTCGTCCCCCATTTTACAAAAATTTGGTCATGTTGAACATAGACATCGAGGAGCAGTCTAACTTGTTTCTAAAAGTAATTGAAACATCATGGGGTTCATTGTTTCTGTTTATGTATACAGGTATGTACTATGTTCCCTGTGATAGAAAACTGGGCTGTGAGGTGCAGTTGAGTTTTCAATTTTCTTGGCCCCCCAAAATGTTGTCAAGTGAGGCATAAATCCATACCCTCGATTTTCCTCTACCTTCTCTTGACATGCTCGATTGCACACACATGTATGCGCACCCACACAAAACTCGACTCATCCAGCATTGGCTGGCTCAGTGCCTCCTCTTAGAGTAATGACAGAGCACTGAGTTCAGTTGTGGCTGAGTCATCCTCATCAAATTATCCAAACTATAAATTTGGGCCCAATTTAGCCACTTGAGATCCTCATTCTACACGTCACACTTTGGTTTCTGTGAATTTAAATAGATCCAGTTCAGAAGCCGGCCGGGATAATGTACCACTTTGGTGAGGCACATAACAAACACATGATTTAAAATGTGAACATTACATGACACATCTTGTTTACATAATATTCGTTTCCAAAGACTGGGATATTTTTCACAGTACAGTCATACCTCGGTTTTCGACCATAATCCGTTCCAGAAGGCTGTTCGAAAACCGAAACCACACTCTTTTTTAAAAAAAATCTTTATTGAACACATCTGCTCACAAAAAAAGGCTACACGAGGAAGCATCACTTCCTCGTCTATCCGAGGAAGCGTCACTTCCTCGTGTAAGGAAGGCGAGAGGAGTCAAGTGGCGCATTCAAGTGCGCTCAGTTTGGTCGAGAACCGATTTTCGGTCGTAATCAGAGTCATAAAAAACTCGAAATTTTTGGTCGAAAACCAACTTGGTCAAGACCAGAGACATTCGAAAACCCAAGTTTGACTGTATTTCAAATTTTTCAAATTTGTCGAAAGTGTTTGGTCCGTACATCTTTTTAAAGTTTAAAATTAAACTTTTTTTTGTGCCTGCAACTGTAATCTATCACTTTCAATTGCATTGGTAAATGGAAGATTCATCGACAAAGGCCAATGAAAAAAAAATATATTTCTAAGGACTGTCAAAATGAGTACTTCTAAATAGAAGATTTAAATAAGTGTGTATCCCCCCCCCCCACACACACACAGATATAGCTACATTTTGAGATCTATCATTGCTTACATCTAAAAAAACAAATCCTTAGCATTCTGTGGTGCCAAATAATGTAATAAACACAAATATCATTGCTGATGTTGTAGTTAACTCCTGGTATACTAACACTATATAATTCAAAAGTAAACTAAAATTAATAAACGAAAATAATATACTAAAAACTAATACTTATATATTTTGGACTTCAGAAGCTCTTTGTCATGGATGATGCGAACAGTAAGGAGTTACAGATTCATCTACTGTTATCAAGCAAGTTTGCTGACAATGTAGGTGTTCTATGTTCATTTACTTTTCATAGCTGGCTGCTCCAGCTCCAGATCGACGTCATTGAAAAATGTACTACACACCTAAGCACTTAACTGATTCTGCTCTTTTGCAACTCTTCATGTCACATCAGCTTAGCATTGGCTTCTCCATCTTAAGTTTTGTCTTATTGCTTGGTTTGTTGCCTACTGAGCTATTCCTCGTGCGACTGGAATGATAACAATAATTGCTAAGTCTGTCTTATTTGCTGCCACAAGGATAGTGTTTAGCTGTGCTAGTTAGCAATCACAGCTCGCACCTCGTAGCTCATGTGCAGAGACATGGTCCAAAGCAAGTTAGTTTCATTACTAGCGTTTCCCCCCTCCAGTTCATGAGCCATCTGAGGAAGCAGCGCCATTTTTGTTTTTTTCTACATATTTTTTTTTTTTAAACAGCTCTGAGCTAATTGGTTTGTGCGACCAGTCCGCAATTATCGTGCTGCTTCCAATTGGTGAGCTTGTGGGCATAAGAGCAGTGATGGCGGGATGGGGGGGACAAACAAACAAAAAAAACAAACATGATTACAGTACATCTGAAATCAAGATTTTGATCACATGGCCTGAAGATCCATTCCAGTTATTTCATAACTGTGTTTACCTAATATGTCTCTCCAGGGGCCAAGTGTATTGAAACGCCCAAGGTAAATATTACATCGGTGTGAGTGAAGACATTCAACACCTCAGGCCTCCCTTCGCCATGGAGTAACATTTTAGACTTGAGCACCTGTAGTTTTTGCTGAATTTGTTTGAGGTGCTCAAATATTGCCACAGTTCAGTCTAGTCAAATCCAGCAGTGACTGAGTTTCTCTTGCCATATTCGTTTTTGAAGGTGGATTGGGAAGAAACTTGTGGAATTCTTGCTTACATCTTGAAAACCAAAGAATCAGCATACAGGTCAGTTTTTTGATCAAACCACTTAGTTGGCAGTAAAGCAGAATATGCACAATTAGCCTAAGACTGTGTCTTAGGGCGATACCTGTCCTAAGACTGAACTTAAGACTGATGATCTTTAAAATATGTTTAGCTGGCACTATGAATTTAATCTTTTTTTTTTTTTACTTTAGGCAAGGCATTTTTATTGTTATGGCCCCATTCATACATCAAACAAGTTGTTTTAGAGAATTGAAACCGACTGAGAGTGGTCAGCATGAGGGTATTCCTAACATCCTCTCCTCAGGAAGTTTATTTCAGGTTTTTGCTGCATAGTTAAAAAAAAAACCTTGCTTCACCGCATTTATTTAGTTCTGACTCTTGGGACAACTAAAATACCACCACTCGATATTCGCTCGAATCTTGACAGATCATATGGCACAAGCATTTTGAGTTGTATTTGGGTGTTGATCCAGAAAGACATTTATGAACCAGCAGAGAGATTTGGCTGTTGCGTGCACTGCCCCCGTAAATAGTAATAATGATGGAAGAATGTATTGTAACGTCTCTCAGAGATATTTAAGCGTCTTTGAATTATTTGGAAAGCCGCTCTATAAATTAAATGTATGATTATTCATTATTTATATATGTGTATATATATATATATATATATATATATATATATACACACACACACACACACACACATATTTTTTTTTTTTTGTATGATCTCAGGCGTTAGTTGTTAATCTCATCTTTTAATATAAATCACAAACACGGCTACTGTGGGTCATAGCCAATGCCAAAATTGAGCAATTACAGCCTGAAGCAAAGCCTACAGATGGAGGAACATAACGTCCACTCTCCCAACTGCTCTCAAACTCCCCCCTCCAGTCCCATGAGTCGCCTGATGCATTCAAAAACACCTGGAAATAACATTGCTCAGCTGAAACAACATGACGTGTTACCAATAATGACAAACACATCCTTCACTTGTCACAGCCAAACACTAATTTTCAACACTTACAGATTCTCTAAACTAAAACGCCGTAACAAAAAAATGAACGGTTTCTGTCACTTGGCAGACATGGTGCAATCTGAACTTCGGTGCCTCCCAGAAGGTGGCCGTGTGTTTAGTCTGCAGGGGAGGTCCAGAACTGGCTCCTCAATCTTATCCGTGTAAAATTGAGGACTCAATCGTTTCCTAGGGTTGGGCGGAGCTGGTGTTTAGAGAACAGGATTGAGCAGGAAAAACTACTTTGGGGGTGTTTTGATGAGGAATTAGCATTTTAACATGAAAGCTCAAAAATGTTGGTTTTGCTTGATACAGGCTTGTTAAAAAAAAACCTTGTCACTCAAGTTTAACTGTCAACGCATTTAAAAGAAATCCATCTCCTTGTAAGAGTTACTTTTTGTATGAAACAAGTATTACTATCCACTGACTCAGAACTCACTAAGTGTCTGAAAAATGTTCTGTGAAACAGCATGTACCGTATTTTCACGACCATACGGAATACCGTATTAAAAGACGTAGTGTAGTCTAGTGTCAGTTATGGGTGCTATTTCTGTATTCAACACATACACAAGACGCATTGTATTATTGGACGCAGACATGGTAAAACGTACGCAAGTCTTAAAAAATACGGTAGCGTGTATGCACACGGCCGATATGAGTTTTCTCCGCAGGGTGTCTGGGCTCTCCATTCGGGATAAAGTGAGAAGCTCGGCCATCCCGGAGGGGCTCAGAGTCGAGCCGCTTCTCCTCTACATCGAGAGGAGCCAGATGAGGTGGCTCGGGCATCTGATTAGGATGCCTCCCTGGTGAGGTGTTCCGGGCATGTCCCACGGGCAGGAGGCCCCGGGGACAAACCAGGACATGCTGGAGAGACTATGTCTTCCAGTTGGCATGGGAACGCCTCGGGATGCCCCGGGAAAAGCTGGAAAAAGTGGCTGGGGAGAGAGAACTCTGGGCTTACGTGCTAAAGCTGTTGCCCCCGTGACCCGACCCCGTATAAGCGATAGAAAATGGATGGATGGATGGATGCACGGTAGCGTTTGGTTTTAAAAAGGTAGTGGAAAACAAAACTGAGTTTGGTTGTACTTTGTTGAAATATTTAACAAAGTACTTGCGTTATATTTTTGACCAATCCTCATCCTAAAATCCATCAAACTTCTAATTTTCTGTGAAATGAATAGATGGGCAAATTCAAAATCAAACACTCCAGGTTCCCAGAGTCATTCTCATTCCCATGCGTCTCCTCAGAAAACTTTTGCGAAAGCAAGCAGACACTTTAGCCCAAGCATCCACAATCCATTCACAAATTGCCTCCCAGTCTTAGAAAAGTTGTGTTCGTCATTGCTTCCACACCGCTCACAACTTCACTTTGGCCTTTTATGTCCATTACCATGGCAACCAAGCACAACAGTAAAAGCCGACTTCTCGCGCCACGTTTTGCATGTCGCTTCCGTGCTGGTCCCCTTCTTCTCTACAGGGAAGTTCACCGGGAGGTCGAAAGTGAGCGGTACCATGTTAGTGATGTGGTTGGGCTGGATGTGGTTGTCGGCAATCTTTCTGTTGTGTTTTGAAATGCAAAGTATGCTTGTCCCTCATCGCTAGCTGTATCCCAAGTGGGTATGTAGGAATTGTGGGGATTGGTTGAGAGAAGAGTCAGTAATGGAAGCCAAATGAGATTGACAGAGCGGCGGAATAAAGAATTTGAATCTCCCTCACTTTTTACTGCAGTAGGAGCAGAAGATGGCCAGCTTTTCTTTGTAATCCGCCGGATGTTGCTGTGCCACAATTGTTTTTGCCCGGATTGATAGATGATGCAATTTCAGAAAATTAAGACACTGAGCACCATTTATTGATCTTGAATTCTGTAGCGGCTGCTCGATTCCCACGGTCCCCCGCGTAACTGATAGCTTGCAGTGTAACCTGTGCTTCATAAGCATGTCCCTTTGTAGATTTCCGGGGTGTCATTTTGCACAATGCACGCATTATCCTATACACACCTACTGGGGGCGTACCTTTAACGTCCTCTTTCATGCCCACCCTTCCCACCTTAATGATCACATGCTGTCCTTAGTTACGTCCGCCTTTCCTCTATAGAAGTAGCGTGTCGGCACAACATCAGTCAGTCAAGTGAACCCCACATCGAAGTCACACAACAGCATTCACAGATTTTGGAACTCGGTGCATATACAAGAAGACCCACATTATTCAGCGCCCCTCCATTTTGGAGAAATTTTAAAATTTAAGTGCGCCTTTTGGTCGTAAAAATATGGTCGTGATTGTCCGTCTTATATCCCAATTGCAAACCAAGTGCCATTGACATCTAAAATAACTCCAGACCGAATAAGGTTGCCATAAAATGATGCAAAATACCATGGAAAACCACTGAACAAAGAGATATATTAAATGGTCAAACTAATCGGATCCTGAGCTTTCATGTAGTATTTAAGAAATCTTCTGAGTGATCAACTGAGCTGTTCGCAGAAATGTGCTGCATTTTTTTCACAAAAGCATTGTTAATGAAAGTATTCCTCCTCTCAACTCAGTTAAACATTGTTCCAATGTATCCACTCAACCAGGTGTCTGCTTATTTACAGCTTGGCTTTCAAGGTACTTTTAGATGTCAACATGTAAATTCTGCATATCGAAGCCCATCCAATATAAATCCAAATGCAATAATAAGTATCACATTTGTCACTTGGTATAATATGTGCAAACCCATTTTTTTAAGATACTAAAAAAAAAATTCTTTAATAATATTCAAAATGGGTTTTAAAAAATATAAATAAAATGGTTAAATGAAAAAAACAGTGGGTAAATAATTAATATGAGAAGACGTGGAGGAATGTTTTAAATTACTAATGAGTTGGAGCTTTAAACCTGTGACACTGGACGCTGTGGCAGACATGAATCCCCTGTGGCAGATGCAAGCACGCAGACAGGAAAGGAGTGGTGCACATGCTTGTTCACCTGAAAAAAAGTCCATATTTTCTGAGATTTAAAGTTACTAATAACTCTACACAAGTTTGGTTGTCAATTGAGCATTGATGACAACTGTGTGTCATTTCATTTTTGGCTTTTGTGTACACTGTATTTCACATGTACACTGTATGCTTGTCAGTTTGTGTGTTTGCGCTTGATTGGGAAAGGAGCAGTGTCCTCATTCCCTGGCAAGCATTGCTGACTCAGATCGGTGGTGTATAATTACACATGGGTGCCCATCAGCAGTCTTTGAGAACCTTCTTCTTTGGCTCATTCGACAATATGAACTCCTGTGCTTAGAGGGCTAAGCCCGCGGCTGGTCAACCCACTCATCCTGAGCCCAGCTCTCTGTGGAGGCTGGCGCTGCCTGTGCAATCTGCCGTTATCATTCTCACTATTTGCTGCTGGCTGTGTGTGTGTTTGTGCATGTGCGTGCGTGTGCGTGTACCCATGAGTCAGCGCAAACAAATTCCCTTTCTGTGGTATTCTCTGCTCTGCTCAGTTTCCCAGCTGATGCAAATAACCAACTGATGAGCCAGGTAGCAGTAAGTCCCCTGGACAGATAAATTGTGCAGCTGTATTGAAGTGACAACTGCATAAAGTGTTTTTGGCCACATGCTCTATATTGTCTAAAACAGAAAGCGTCATTTTTCAACAATGAAATTCTCCATTGCACCTTATTTCTTGCTTGCTTCCTGTTCAGGCCAGTTGACGATCTTTGTGAAAATGGCTGGTGATGATTTATGGTGACTGACACTGCTCAAAGGTGTTTTCCACAGTTCGACTTGGCTGAGACTATCAGTGACAGGATACAGACTCTCAATGACTGGGTCTAGTTCTGCTTTAGATTATCGACATCAACCTCAAACATCAATCACGTGCCGTGTGATTTCATGGTCCGTTTCATTTTTACCAGATGTTGACGGACCCCACCATGTTTGTCGCAGTAAATAAGCTTAACTCTCTCCCATCAAGGGTATGCAATGGATTCATAGTTGTGTGTTTGTGACTCGGGGTGGCCATGTTAATC